AAAAGAAAAGAAAGCTGAACTAGTACTAGTAGTAAGCCTAATCCCCTGATCCTCCTAAAATTTATGCATTCTCCTGAACTTTGACCCTCTTTGTCTTTTTGGGGGGTGTGTATGTGTGCATTTTGGGAAGCCCAGAGAGAGGGAGAAAAAGTGAAAGCTGAAGGAAATATTACCATTCTGGCAAATGGTAATATTCAGAGTGGCAAAGGAAAATCTGGTTAATGATCTTATTGAATCCAACTGCAACCTCAGGCATAATCAAGGAGAGTTAATGGGGAACTCTGCCAGTGGGAATGGAAGATGTAGGCATTAAAGGATGAGCCTAGCTGGAGTGAACTCCAGACAGGGGACACAGGGGACTGCTGGTGGTGGTGGTATCAAAAGCCAGGGACGATTCTAGTGGTTCACCGGCTAGGGGCAGCTATCATTCCTATGTACAATACCAATCATTTCCCAACTGAAAATCTCCCTAACACATTATTTTACAGCGTTCATCATTCTTGAAATTATTTGATTAATACTTACCTTCCCCAAAAGACTGTAAATCTCAAAAGAGCTGGTACTATATCTGCTTTGTTTATCATTGAATCCTAGCATGTAACACAGTGCCTAGCTCATAATAGGTGTTCAATAAATTATCTGTTGACTACTTGACTTATATTTGTGACTAATGGTATTTACATACTTTTATTATCTCAATCCTGCTTTAGTCATTTCCTTCTTCTAGTACAGGGAACTTTTTTTACTTTTCCCCTCCAGATTTGGAGACCAGAAAGTCAAACCCAAAGGAGGTATTTTCTGAAAAAGAATCATGCCAGGGGATAAGTATGGAGAGGAGCACAGGGGCTGATGCAAGGGCTTCCAGTTTGAAGGAAGCCTGGGGATATGCAGAGATCAAAGAGAATGGTCAAGATAGACTCTGGAAAGAAGCAACAGTTATCTGCAAGAAAAGAACTTCTAGAACTGATAGTAAGCCCAAATATATTGAATCTGGCAGACGTGTTAGTCTGAAGTCAGACTTTGTTATACAATCAAGATACCCTGAAGAAGAGAGACCATATACGTCTCATGCTCAGGGAAGGAGTTTTAAACAGAATTCAAAATTAATAAGACATCAGAAAGATAGCCCAAATGAGAAAACTCTTCAGTGTAATGTACGTAGTAAAATATTCAGTGATCGCTCAGTTTATGTTCAACATCGTATAGCTCATAGTGGAGAAAACAATTTGAAATGTAATCAGTATGGGAAGACCTTTGGTCACGGTATACACTGCACTGAACATCAGAAAACTAATATTGGAGAGAAGTCTTGTGAAGATAGAAAAGGCTATACCTGGAACTCACACCTTACCAAACATCATCAGAGCGTTCATGGTGGGAAGGAATATAATGTGCATGAAAGAGCCTTAATTCAGAATGCACCATTTATTCAACATCAGAGAACCCAACATGGAGAGAAACCGTATGAATGTAGTGAATGTAGAAAAACTTTTGGTAATTATTCAGCCCTTACAGTACATCAGAGAATTCATACTGGAGAGAAACCATATGAATGCAAGGAATGTGGAAAAGCCTTTAATCATAACGTCTCTCTTATCCAACACCAGAGAATCCATACTGGAGAGAAGCCCCATGAATGTAATGAATGCGGGAAGGCTTTCATTCAGATAACACACTTTATTCAACATCAACGAATTCATACTGGCGAGAAACCTTATGAATGTAACGAATGTGGTAAAGCCTTCAGTCACAATTCATCCCGTATTGAACATCAGTTTATTCATACTGGAGAGAAGCCCTATGAATGCAGGGAATGTGGGAAAGCCTTTAGTCACAACTCTTCCCTCATTGTCCATCAGTTTATTCACACTGGAGAGAAACCCTATGAATGTAGTGAGTGCGGCAAGGTCTTTAGTCAAAGCTCACACCTCTATCAACATCAGAGAACTCACACTGGAGAGAAACCTTACACCTGTAATGACTGTGGGAAAGCCTTCAGTGATCGATCAGCACTTATTCGACATCAGAGAACTCATACTGGAGAGAAACCCTACAAGTGTAGAGAATGTGATAAAGCTTTCAGCCAGAGCTCAACCCTCACAAAACACACAAAAACCCACACTGGAGAGAAACCTTACACCTGTAAAGATTGTGGGAAAGCCTTCAGCCAGAGTTCATCGCTGACGCAACATCAGAAGATTCATACTGGAGAGAAACCATTTGATTGTCCTGAGTGTGGGAAAGCCTTCAGTAGAAGTGCCCATCTTACTCAACATCAGAGGATTCACACTGGAGAGAAACCCTGTGAGTGTAATGAATGTGGCAGAGCCTTCAGGTGTAGTTCAGCCCTCATTAGGCATCAGAGACTTCACAGTGGAGAATCACTCTGAATGTGTGGTCATTCAGACTCCTCACTTTGTTAAATACCAAAGAATCCTACTTTCATGGGTTATTATAATTGTGATCCCCCCGCTTTTTTTGAAAATGCTCTCCTCCCATTTTCTCCTGCAAAGAATTAGCTGCCAGAATACCACAAATCCATGTGAAGAAATACTGATCTGAAAGCTGGAATAGCCTAAGAAACCAACCATTAATCTTTCTGTGTGTGTGTATTTTCATCTGTACCTGAAAATGACTGATGTCACCATGAAGTGATTTTTTTTTCTCCTGGCCCCAGGAATAGGCTCTTCCAACACGCAAAGGAATTCCAGTTGTTCAAACTTGAGCTCATTGCCCCTCCTTGTACTGATTGGAATACTGCCATGTCCAAGTGAAATGGACTCATGGTTGATCGTATATTCAAATACCACCTTTCTATAAATCTTTGCCTTAATATACAATCATTCCTACCCCTAGCAGTACTGTCCTCATTAAAAGGGCTACTTTGAACTCTCCCTTCTTACTGACTTTCCCGTCCTTCTCTTCTATTTAAAGTGCTTACACACTTTAGTGTTAGTTACAGCTTGAAGTTCAACAGGGCTTGAGTTTCAGAGCTGAAAAGCACAACTGAAGATAGAGGAAAAAGGGATTTTTGTTCTGAAAATTGTAAGACAAAATACTCTGAAGAAATGGTAACATCTGGAAATAATTATTGAAATACATGAAATTTTTAGTACCTTTTAGAAATTGGAGACAAGAAAAAAAAGAGTCCTCCATAAAAGTGTCTGTTATTAGAATCAGAGCTCTTCAAATAATGTTAGTTAACATCTTAGGTATAGCAAGGCCCTTTCAAAAACTTCTCTTTCCTGGAGCCAGTTAGTGTGGGTTGTGGAGAAACATTTGCCTTTCCTTCAGAGGCCTGATTTAGAATGAATTTATATGGTTAAAACCAGTTTATGTGGTTAAAACTGCTTGTGTTGAGTGAAGGGAAAATTAACATACATGTTATATCTCAAATTCCTCTAAGAAGCTTGGATAGTTTTCACTATTGTGATGAGCTCGTTGTGTGGTGACCCCGGGCTTGATTTGAGGATTGTAGGAAGAGATCTTTGTTGATTAAAGCAGGGCTTTCTGCCTTTTCTGAGGGGGCATTAATCGTTTTTTTCTTTTTCTTTTTTTAATCAAGAGGTAGTTCTCACATTATCACTCTTTTCAATTTGCAAGTTAGTCTCCTTTAGGACTCAACTTAAATTGTTACCTTCTCCTTGACCACCACAGTTGAAAATAACCTCCTTCTCTGAAAACCTTTGCCATTCATTATATCCCTTATATATGCCTATAAAACATTTTTAGTTTGATCTTAATATCTGGTTTTATCTCCAGCTTTAACACAGTTCTCCCCATGAGGAAAGTAACTATCTTGGTAGGTCTTTTATTGTTGATTTTAAACAAAATAATAGTTACACACGGTTTTAAAAATTCATATAAGATGAGTTGTTCAATGAAAAGTTACCCCTGTAGTACCTTTGATACACATCATACATTAGATGATTTCTGGATATGTTTTGCCAACATTATGCATACAAAATATAGTGGCTTGAGATAAACATTTTGGAGAAAATCTTATCATACTTACATTTTACTTAATAGGAATTCAACCATATGCACCAAGACACCCCCCTCCAAAAAAGCCCAACAGATAAATTAGTGAAATTAGACATATTGTAAAATTATATTTTACATATATAACATTCTGTTGTTTACTTATACATTTATACATGTGAACACATAATAGCATGTTATCAAAGTTATACACAAAGCTATGTAACTGCATTTTATGAGCAAACGCAGAGATTTATAAGGACAATATTGATAATACTCTATTTCCACCTTATGGGCTCACTACTGAAGGTAATTTTGTTTCTCCAAAGAATTGACAGGCACAGACAATACATTTGTATACTCCTTTATTCCTCTCCGTGAATGTTTTTGCTCAGTTGGCCAGAGTTGATTATATCAGAAGATATGCCAATTCATCCTAGTAGGAAGGTTGCTATGATACAGCATCATGGAGAATTGAGAAATACTTCTGTTTAATTTAGGTAAAAAAATCCACTTCCGGGGGCGCCTGGGTGGCTCAGTCATTAAGCGTCTGCCTTCGGCTCAGGTCATGATCCCAGGGTCCTGGGATCGAGCCCCGCATCGGGCTCTCTGCTCCGCGGGAAGCCTGCTTCTCCCTCTCCCACTCCCCCTGCTGTGTTCCCTCTCTTGCTGTGTCTGTCAAATAAATAAATAAAAAATCTTAAAAAAAAAAATCCATTTCCGGGGTGCCTGGGTGGCTCAGTCGGTTAAGTGTCTGCCTTTGGCTCAGGTCATGATCCCAGGATCCTGGGATCGAGCCCCGCATCGGGCTCCCTGCTCCGCGGGAAGCCTGCTTCTCCCTCTCCCACTCCCCCTGCTTGTGTTCCCTCTCTCACTGTCTCTCTCTCTGTCAAATAAATAAAATCTTTAAAAAAAAAAATCCATTTCCCCAAATAAACCTGGCCTTAGGAATCTGGATAAGCAGACCTAGCTTAAACCTCTTCTTTAGTAAATGTAAGAAAGGAAAGCTACCTGGTTTTTGCCCTTATCCTAGAAATGCAACTCAAGAAGCAGGCATTAATATTCCATTCCTTTCCTTTTATAAGCATAAAGTAAGGCAGAATTCAGTGTGTAAACTGCCATTTGTTTTTTCTTTGTATTTTAGCTCTTCCCAGACCCCTTTCAGAGGATTTTCATGACAATAAAAGATAATACTTGAGGTAAAGATTTATTACATGCTAGACACTGTTCAGGAACCTTTTGTATGTATCAACTCATTCATTTCTTCCAACAATACCCTTAAATTTAGGCACACCTTATCCCTATTTTGTAGAGGAGGCAACCATGACTCAGAAAGGCAGTCACTGGCCAACCTGCAAACACTGTGGAGCTGAGATTTAAACTCAGGTAGTCCAGCTCAAGAGTCCTTGTTCTTAACCTTTTTACTCTACCGCCTCTTTGCACATGTGTGTTTGTATGTGTGGCCCTGAGATAAGTATTGAGGGAGGCTGCTGAGCATGCCAATCATCAGGGCATAATGGAACCACTTGCTAGGGATGGTGGAAGCATCAGTGAGTGATGGGACTATAGATGTCAGAACTTGCTTTTCTCCATGTTATACAATCTGGGAGACTTGGGGAAGACCATATACCAAGAGTAGATGGCTTCTGTATTGACTTAGAGGCAGAGCTCAGAGTTAGGGCACTCTTCACATTAAGACACCATCCAAAGGGAGCCTCACTGGATGGGACAGTATCGTCTGGGATTTGTTCCTGTGTAGGCTCCAGAGGAAAGAGTTCTGGGTTAAGAGGTGCCTTCTCTAATCCAGGTTATGGCGCCTACTTAGGCAACTGCTATTAAGTGTAATAAGGTATTAAATAGCATACAGGAGAGTCAGAGTGGTTTTCCTTGGATATAAAGCCCAATTTTACTTACCAGTCCCTTTGAGAGACGCCAGTGTTTTTAACAGCTCTATGTAGTCCTTAAGATTCATGACTGTGACAAGGCCAGGGGCTTCTTAAGAGCAGAGAACTGGGGCTGATACTCCTTCCTGAAGAAGGCTTTCTGAATCATGCCCTCTCCCCCTCCTTTGTACTTGATGATTGACATTGTAATAAACCCACACGAGAAGAGATTCAGAGGTTTCTCGTGGAGTAAATTCAAGAGGCCAGAGTATGAAGAAATTAGGAAAAGAGAGAAAATTCGTGAGATTTGTTTCCTTTTATTTCTTGTCATTTTAAGGGTATGGCATGTGATTCCCATGACGCTTCAAAATTATTCCTAATCCAGTGTCGTGTGGATTTATGTCATTGTTCTGTTGACCATGAGAGGAAAGGTCTCCAATAGAGGAGAAGGCTTGAAAATCACAGATGAATTGGGGGGGGTCCTTTCCTGCAAAACTGATCCGAATAGAGGACAGTTGCAGGCCGTGTCCTTTAATGCTTTGGTTCGCTCGCTCCTCGTGAGCACACTTGCCTTGCCCCTCGCGAAAAGCTTTCTGCTTTCAATGTTGGCTACAAGGTTGCCCAACTTCTCTGCTATTTGGGGAGGATATTTCTTTTTTGTATCCTTAGCTCGTTTTCCTCGTGGACTCCAAAAGGGCTGCCGGCGGTTATTTTCCACTTTTAACTTTAAAATTTTTTTTAAACTTTTATTTTTAAAGACAATTTTTTAAATCTCTCACCAAGGTGGGGCTCAAACTCACAACGACATCAAGAGCCCCACGCTCTTGCGACGGAGCCAGGCCGGCGCCCTTATTTTTCACTTTTTAAAAGGTAGCCTCTGGCTTTTCTTCATCGGCCTCTTGTGCCTGGTTCTGGGACCCAGCCTTTCTCGCTGTAATCTCTTGTTCATCAGTCAGGTGGGGACGTGAAAACCTTTTCCCCTTACGACAGCCCTACCTGCTTAAATGATAAAGACCCAGAAATTAGTCACCTTTCTCCTGCCTTTGGTCCCTTGGCGCAGCGGCTCTTTGAGGTTGGCTCGACCGGTTGGGGGCGGGGGAAACACTCAGGAGTTGTCATGGAGACCAGACGAGGACGTGGTGGGTAGGGGCGGGGCGAGGAAACGTCACGGCTGCTGATTGGCTAGGAAGCCGCGCCGTTGCGCAGAGACCGAAAGATTCCTGTCTGCGCAGGCGCATTGCTTTCCTGGCCGAGGGGTGTGGCGCCGTTTGGCCTGTGGTGTGTATTTGGGTCCTTGCGGGCTCCTGGTCCGCTAATCCCAAGGCGTAGCGATCTGTCATCGTCGACCGCCGGGCGGAACTGATTCCCGCGTGGCCCCGCGTCCCGGCTCTGCCGCCACGTCCGGAACCCGCCAGCTTCGCTTCGGGTCCAGCCGCCTGCTCGCCGCGGTCGCTCCCGGAGAGGCCGCGCAGCCGGGCGGGTGCCGGCCTGGTGGCTCGGACCGCAGCGCAGCGACTCGGACGCCAAGGACCGGGCGTGGGCCGTCCGCTGCGGTGGGGCGGCCGAGCCCTGCTGTGTCCGCTGTGGGACCCCGGAGAGCCACTGACCGTCGGCCCAGGGAGGAGGGAGGACGAGGGAGCACGGAAGAGGTGGACTCCATAGCCTAGGGCACGTTAGAGAGGGCGCGGGACTCAGTCTAGAGCCTTTGGAGCTATGAATTAATGTCCCTAAGTTTTCAAACCTTCCTTCACAATCATATTCTTCCATGAAAGACCTAAAATGACTTACAAAACCATTATGAATTTTCTAGTAGAAACACTTAAGTAGACGTAAGGAATCAGTTTCAAAAGGAAAAGTGCTCACCCTGAACTCCAAGACTAATCTATTAAATGCCTAACTTTACAAAAGATTTTGCATTTGAGGGAGAAACTTTACAAAACTTTACAGAACAGTTTGCATTTTTGTAACAGTTAATTACTGTTTTAAAAAATGGCCCGTGGGTGGCTCAGTCGGTTAAGCAACACA